ACCAAAATCCGAGGGAACACTACGCGCATTGGCATCTCCTGGTCGTTAAGACCATGTTAGGCCTCGAAGCAATTCGAAATCGCTAAGCTTACGGTTGACACATTAATATCTCATCAAACGTGAGGATGTTCGATCACCAAAAGCACCTGCCTTAGAAAAAGTAGTTCAATAGCAAACGTACCACCGCTATCCCTTCAATTTTGGACAGTGTCATCGCGCTGACATAGCATAAGGTTTGCAAACCATTGTATTTCCTTTCCCTCGGGCAAGTGTGAAGAAAATGTGCAAAAGGCCATACGGGAACGTATCCCTTATTTCAGGAGTGCGACACTGTACAAATAGTGGTGTGTTTATAGCTCAGGTTTCTTGAAAAGCTGGGCCAGCAGCTGCTCGGGTGGTGGTGCAGCTTCCACGGGATATTGAGCGACTCGACGCAGAGTACGCACCATCTCTAAGTCCGTGACCAAGCGAGATGTGGCTCCCACGACCGCCTCTCCGCCCTCCATCATTTCGGCATCTTCAACGCGCTCCACCCGAGAGAGGAGACCTGTCGTCTCTGCCCGTGACTATTGGTAAAAGTGTAACGAGAGGAACTGCTTTGCATGAACTTTTGAGGAAAAGTAAAATTAAGCAAGAAATTCCTATTTAAGAGTTCATATTTCGTTTGAAGTGATAAAATCGTGCAAATATTGATGCAATATATATGTATGCACCATTACTTATAAGTGACGGTAATGATGAAAGCTAAGCAAACCTAGCTTCAATCCCCGTAAAATCGTAACCAGAAAGAGGACATTATGTTAAAATCAACCGACCCTCGTAGATATTTCCACCGAGACAGGAGGTGACACCAAATTATACACAGCCAAGTCCCTACGCCCTTCATCGCGACCCTGAATCGTGGCTATGACGGCAGCCAGAGGTGGTATTGTCTCTGTCTTCGACGGCAGGAAGACTAGAGCCACGGGCAATGTGGAAGCCAGCTGCCCTCGCTTACCATCTTTAGTATTGCGGCGCTGACGGTCACAGAAGGGAAGTAGAGGAAGTTGGGGCAGAGTAGCCACCACTTGAAGATTAGCATCGTACACGACACCTGGAAAAAGTACAAATAATAACACGGCTGCCTTTAGACCATACGAGCGTAGAGGAATTTAAGTTGTATTGTCTGAACGAAAAACAGATTTTCCTTCGATCACCACAAAGTCGGAAACTTCATGTTTGTTATCAAAACAGTGTCTCTGGTCAACATTGATGCTATTTTTGATGATAAATCAAATTACTTTGAGAAATTGCAGCTTATCATACTTAAAAGCCCTAAACAGTTAGAAGGATATTACCTACCATTTTTCAGACTAAATCATTTCAAATGAAGGACTTGAAGATTCCCAGTTCGATACAAAACGAGAGAAACAAGTGAAACCCAACACCATAGCGATGCAGGAACATTACGCTCAATACACACCTGAGTACAAGTTTGTTAAAGTGAGTCCCAAAAAACATCGCATTAACGTTGCAGGACAGGAACAAAAAGTGCGTAAAAAATAGGAAACGAAATTAGAAATGGGGGTCGGAAGATGAGGCACGCAATAAATCTACTGGAGTCATTTGTGCAATGGACATCACAACTGATGTAAGCATGTTTTTAGGAAATGATTCGATAGACGTTTGAATGCTGGTTTGGAAAAAAATCCTAACCTGTAACTAAGCTAAGCACTCTCAGAATCGTGATCCAAAGTCTTGCATAGAAGCCGTTAAAACGTTATAAAAAGGCGTTACGCCTTAGTCGTTTTGAAACCAAGGTGAGACGCTGATATACTCATCGTCCACACAAAAGTTAAGCAAGTTTCAGCTACATTTTTTCGATTTTGGTGCCTATCTTGGCCGCCCATTCAGATTGATGCGTTGCTGTGCGATGCAATGCAAAGGTACCTTTAAGTGGGAGTCATGGGAGCAAGGTGTCAAGTTACAGTGATATATACAGAAGTACGAGCTTATAAATAGAGGTTACCTTTTCTTAATTAGCCAGGCAGCCTTCGTTGTTTAAAGGTAAAAGGTTAGATTTGGAAGCAGCAAATGGCTTTTAGACAGCAGCCAATAAGAACAGGAAAAAGGGGAACTGACAATTTTGAGATTGTAGAGACTGAAATTGGAACCCACCCACAGCCTGAGCCTCAATCCAATGCAGTACTCATAAGCAAGGTGTGCCAGTCACCTAAAGAGCTCTCCCAGTGCACACACATGATGCGATCACCTAAACCAAGTAACGAGTAACGTGAATAGGGCATTACATTCTACCTTGTAAATGAAAGTCAGCTCTCCCTAAGTGGTAAAGAGTATCTTCACGTAAAGCGAATTTTTGGATGAGGGGGCACGGCTTTATAATGGTCCGCAGAGAACCAATGCACTTTTTGGCAAGAAGCGCTAATGATAACCAGTTACAGACGCATTCGATTCGCCCATAATAGGGACGCATTTGCATGCCGAATGTTTGTATCAAATAGGTCTGAAAGTTGATCCAAAACAGGCTTTCAAGAGGAACACATTACAAAAGATGTTGAGGAGGAAAGAGGTGGGATCTATCAGCAGCACATCATCACCAATATTTCAGGTTAGTACTAAAATATTGCTTTTACCGACGTACATTTTGAAGCAGTTAGGTTCTCAACTGGGCTTATACAAATGTCAGTCGAGTTGAGAGGTAATGGTTAAGACGCAAAACCACACAATCTAATAAATAAGATTGTAGGGTAAAATATCTGTTAGGCCCTAACATGCAAGACCTGCCGTCTTGGGAATCAAGAAATCGCAGTGAAAGTATATAATTCTGATTCAAAATACGAGTGGTGCAAATAATGTCGCTTAGAAGAGGAACCTGCCGATAAAAAAGGAGGTCAAATTGTACAATCATTTCAGGGCTGATTGGTGAGACACTATATGAGGGAGATCAGTCATCCACTCACTTGTTTTACTAATGCAATTAAAGTATGATTGTGATGGTATGGAAGGATATTTTCAACAGAGAATGCTTTGGGACAGTGCATGGACTTTCACATCTCACTAATCACATTAAAACAGCAACCGATTGACCCAAACATACAGGACCCATTCATCGTCCCAACAGCAACGAAAGCGGGCGTTTGGTTAACGGCGAAGGCCCCAGTGGGAGCGAGGTCAAAGACACCGAAATGAGGAATCAGGCGGCCTCGTCGATCCACAAAGAGAAGGCAGAGAGCACCGTTAGCGTCGCTACGACTGGACTTCTCGGTGGAGGCTGGACGGAGGAGGGCGACACAGAGACACTTAGCGGGGTCCAGTATTGCTAATTGGCAAACCTCAACCCCATCGGCTGAAAAGGTGTTCATCTTCCAGTCGGACCAAGAGGGAAAGTGATATGTACATAGTGGTAGCATATCCTCCATCACGATGGAGCCTGCAGAAAGAAATTGCGGAGAACCGCGAAAAATGATAACTTTGTTATGCAGGTATTCACTACCCAGATTCATTGTCCTTACCATCTTGACAAAGTGCAGGGGAAGGGGACGCGTAAGAACTGCGACCCAGTGTGCCAAAAATGTAGATGAGACCAACTGCATTGCATTTCATGGTTTTTATTTAAGATTGATTTGAAATTCCACGCTATGCGAAAGGTATAAAGAGATTAAATACTACAATTTGTGATCGAGACGTCTTGCAGCTATGAGCGTTTCCGCTGAAGTACATTTGTGGGACAAATGTAGCAGTCATCGGCGAAAGATTGCCTGCAACCCTTGTAGCATGAAGCTTGCATACAACTCATGCATGACACACGATTATAACTACTAAATGCACGAATTACATTTCCTTCACAATAAAATTGGCTTAAGACTTAGTTTTGCGGTTTGATCCAGCCCGTTGAGCGTTAAAATCTTGAACTGGTGCAAGAGGTGACAGCTACTAAATTGCACAACTGTCAGTTATCAGAGCAGTGCTCCTTAAAGATCGCAAAACAATGTTTCTACGTTTTGACGCAAAAAAAACTAATTTAAATGATTGAACGATGATATCGGACCTATTGCTACACGTATAAAGAAAATTTGAATTAAAGACAAGGATTTCAATAGGCATTACGCGAAATTTGTCACTGCAATAAATAAACGAAGCTAAACCAACATGATCACAAGCAGGAGCGGCAATAAAATGCAACAATAGCCAGTCAAAAACACCTACAAATTTCTATAGAGTAAACGTATATAGCTAAGATAATCGTCTACTTCAAAAGCTAAATTCCAACAATTATCTTAACGAACCTAATCGCCAGCGAATCCACATAAAGGAAGTCAGGGTTGTACCAGTGGCACAAACCACAATGCTTCGAAGCTTCTCCTTCGAAGCCGTAAGTGCCTCTTCCCGACTTCTCATCAACTTCCCCGTAGACACCCCTTCTTTGTTAAAGATACAGAGCTTGGAGGGTGGTGGAGGAGGAGACTCCTTAACCTCAAAATTGATTAGCAAACCAGGGTTCAAGGCAACGCAAGATGTCAACTTCCAAGGTCTTTGAGACGTCTGCACTTCTACTTAAAGGCAAAAGTAATGGATTTAATAGAGAAAATTTCTCATTGAAAGCTGTAAGGTAAGAGATCATTTCTGAAAATATTTGAGAATGATCTGTTGCTTAAAAGCAAAATTGTAGCTTAGAATTCTACCCCACTCACACGTGACGCGCTAAAAGCCCAACTTTGAGTTCCATTCACTGTCAACACATAGTCGGTTTGTGCATGGCAGGGAGCTGAAGCGACACGACGAAAAGGCGACTGGATCAGCAAAATAAATAATACAACGCAAAAGGAAAAGTTGAGTTGCATTACATTTTCTGCCGCACGTCAGACTACATCGACACTCTTATTTCCCATAAACCTTAGCATCGCCTCTGCAAAGTTTCACATGGGATCGTGCGGTTCGTCTAATGCCACCAATGAATTACATCCACGTCGCTGAATATCAGAGGAGTGCGAGAAATGAGGAGAGACCAACTACACTCCCTCCCTAACTAAGATGCACATCTCTTCACTATTACGGAATACAAAGCCCCGAAATGTGGCACCTCGCTGAACTAGGGCTTCCTTTCCACCCACTTACTGGACCTGGCTCCTCCTCAATAAGGCTTACCTTACCTTACACTTCGTTCAGTTGCACCGCATCCAGACGCTGCAACCGTTATAACCGCTTTGCACTCCTTATAAATGGGTGTTCAAAATGCGGTAACAACAGTTTAGACCGCAAACCAAGAACACCTATGGCTCATACCACGTGCTAACAACTACAATTACACATCCTTACAAGGTGCCAGGTTTGCCGGCAGCCCACAATGAAAACTCTATAAACGCTTTGGTCACTTAATAATGGGAAACAATTGACTTTAATGAAACTTGCCTGACGCAAGATTATGTTGCCATACAAGGACTCGCTGGTCACGCAAAATAAGCAGAGTTTGGAAACTCTGTGGTTCATCAGGGTGTCGAGTAAACTTTAGATCGGTTGCTTGGCAGTTTAGATGAGCCATTGGTTCACCGTAAATGGCCTCATATCTGAAACTGATAACCACAAATAAAAGAAAAATTTCAAAGTTAGGGAGATACAAAGGTTTCAAACAGACATTTCATACGCAACGTGGCCACGATTATCAAAAAAAACATCGATGAAAGCAGCTCCACTTAAGGCCTGTAAAGGCTGTAACATATAACAGCCTTTCTCAGAACGACCTAATCACCCTCTTCAATACAATTCACCGGTTAATCACGCCAATAATGGCAACAACTTCCTCAGCACTCGAGCGTAAACCGTTCTCCTTCCCAACGTTTTGACATCAAAGCTCACCTATCACTTAATTATAAATGTCATAAATGACGTTAGAAATGAGCTTGTGGGGAGCTTTGAGTAACAATCATAGGCGATGGCAGAAGGGCACCTCACTGGAAATGTTGTCAAAATCTCAGTTGACCATCCCTTGCAAAATCCGTTTTGACGTTAATAAGGTCAAACAGACACTCCCCTTCCTCCATTTCAGATACTACTTACAACTAAATTAACGAGGTAAAGGGGTTGTTGAAAACAGGTCTTTCAAATTCAAATTATTAATTTCGTTACTCAAGTCTTGTTACCATTGGCAAACGGAAAACAAAGGCTGACTGTTAGATGATGAGAGCATTTTCTGCGCGCTAAAGATAACAGAAAATGAGACAGAGATGTCCTGTTTCTATTTCTAACTGAGACTCAGAAAACTCAACGCTTGAAATGATAAACCGAAACATGCAACTCTTATTCAACTGGCCTACTCAAGGGATGGGCCATCTTGGCTACCGTAACGCATGCGTTTCCACCAGACAAGTTGGGCCTGATTGTCCAAGCTGTGGCCGCCGAGGTGGGGACGCGGAAAGGGGAGTCGGGGAAGCTGAAGCTCTGAATAGGTGGCAACCCACTCACCGCTGTGCCATGCCTCAGCTAAAAGCACTTCGGAAACCAACGGTGCTGGCACCCTGTCACATACCACGTAGTGCCGTTGGTTCACATCCATCTAGGTGGAATACAAAGTAAAGAGGGATAGTTCTGAGCCTAAAACGTGGGGCTCCTTCTTTTCACAAGGTGCTGATCACTTATTTGCCCATTTATAGCTGATATGGCATTTAACTGCCAAAAAAAACATTTTTCGTGGTAAATATTACAAACAAAATGCCTTAGCCCAGCCTGCAAAAGTTAGATTCCAATTTTATAACGAAATGAAAAATCTATACGACCAGACTAAGAAGAATTAAAGAAGTTGCGCCTACTAACGAACACAACAATCGAGCCAGTAACTAAACTACACAAATTCGATACCGTTGCTGTTCCTTTAGTTAATGCTACCTGAAGAATTGGCCTCTGGATCATATGGTGCCAACACAAGAACTAAAAATGGCCTGCCAGTCGAATGGTCCTACCGAAGTGAGGACTTTGGCGGTGGCGGCCTCGACCACTTGCAGACATCCCATCGTGCCAGAGAGGAGAAGAGAGACTGACATGTTGTCGCCGTCGTTTTGGCCAGAATCAACAACAATCTTGGGACTTGGAAGAACAAGTGCTGTGGGTGGGTCCGACTGCTGCACTCTGAAGGCCCGCCAGCGCCAAGGGGTTTGGTCAATCCCAAAGTGCTTGTAAATGATTTGCATAGCTCCGTTCACTACTAGAAAGCCTTAAATTAAAAGGCAAAATTCAATGGAAATCCACAGGCTGACAATAGTGAATACTATACCTATTCTTATATTTCCCACCGATGCCGGTTGAAAATGATTCTAAATAAAGGGAACCCTACACTTTCCAGTGAAATAAAGGCATTTAAGAAATGTAATTCATGGAAATTAAGTGGCACTGGTTTGAAGTGAAAGTACTTGTTGACTGTTGCAATGTCTATAAGCTTAAATAAAGTTCCATCAGAGTAAATCGACGATGAGAAATTTCATCCTTACAAGTTCAATAGAGGAAAGTGTTTTTTTTTAAAAAAATGAAGTATAGGAGGCATCAATTTCTAAAATGCAAGCTACGAGAAATCTCAACAATCGATTCATATTATCAAATGTTTTCCGTAGAGCACTAAGCAATTTTGGACACAATTAAAGATCCAACGAGCAACATGTTCCGAATTATGTAAGAAATGAGGTTGGGAAAGACTGATTTCCATGCAGACGCATTTATTGGTTCCCAAAAGTAAAATATTATTTGAAAGTCAATCAGTAATAAGCATATATTGAGGCAGCAGAAGATATTAGGCAAAGCGACTCCAAAAATTAATTACAAAAC